ATTTTCTTGGGTACTCTTCCTCTTCGTGCATTTGTTGTCTTGCCACTCATGACTAACTCAGTTGTTGTTCTTTTTGTTGGCGTGCTTTGCCTTTGATAACATTTCTTGGCCCCGTGATACTGGCTTTGTTGTGTGAAATATTCTTGGGCTGTTGCAGATGCGGAACTGGGTGATGTAAGCTGTTGCTGCGCTGCTGATGGAGACGAGCAATCGCCAGAGCCTGTTGGAAGCGTTCCGGAATGAAACACATGCAACACACACTGTTGCACTGGCCTTTCTCGAAGGTGCGTACGTCTTCGCCGTTTCTCGTGTTATCGCGAAGCTACCAGTGTTCCATTTCTTCCCCATTCATCTCGCTTTTTATGAGCTGTATATATATATATCCTTTCTTTCCTCTCTAAATGCAGACCAAAAAAATTCACGGGGTCGTGCATAGGAACCACGCATACCTGTGGGTTTGGTTCGAGCTCATTAATACCTATTTGGACGGGAACATCCCCTCCAAATTTCATTCTTCTAGCTTCTCAGCTTCCCGAGTTAGCAACTTATCCAAAAAAAAACTTATTTGGGAGATCAAAATGGCACTTCCAGTGTGTTTTCATTAATTATCAAAATTCGATTGTGTTCCCCTCCATGGTAGTGGGCCGGCAACGCCAAGCAAACTGCATATGTGTTAATGCATAGGCGCTATTTTAGCCCCCCTCCCACTCTTCTAATTTCTTTTGCTTTCGTATGTGGCTGTTCCCTGCTCCAGTCTTGGTGAGACGTGATTTTTACTCCAGTTCTGTCTGGATCTATATGACTTTGTTCAGTTTTGTTGAAAACTCTGAGGCGAGTGCATTTTGCAAATTTCATAATTCTCATTTGATATCCTGTGCATTTACCCCCAGGGATATTCCTTGTTTATAAACTCTAAAATTTCTGCAACACATACAAAACGATGTGTTGGTGCGGTTTCCAGAGCATGGTTGGGATTACGAGAAGTCACTGAAGGGGTACAACGCTTGGAGAGACAAAGAAGCGGCAGCTTTACGATCGGGGCACTCCGACACTCAAGGTATTTCTCTGTGCAAATTTAGCTGTGTACCCTGTGGAATTCCTCACTGCAAATTCAGCATAAAGGGAATTGTACCAGATTTAGCTGATATTCTTTTTTCTCAAATTTTTTTTTGATATTTCGGCTGAATTCGGTCTCAGGGTGTGCTTTACATGTTGCCAGTTTGATTATCCCAGGGCTCTTTGTGATGAAATTTGGGCCGTGGGTTTACCACTCCAACAAAGATTACCCAATTTCAGGGCGCGGAAAAGACGCAGATTTGACGGATGAAGCTTCGAGCAAGCTGAATGGTGAAGTTGAGGTTACACTACGTGCACCAGCATACGCTTTCGTGCTGCCAAATCTGTTCGAGTTAGCAGCGGATTTTCGAAATTTCCTGGAGAAAGATTTGATTGAAACGTCAACACTCAAAAGACTTGAAAATTCCGGCAAGTCAATAAACTGTTTTTTTTTTCGATACTTTGATCAACTGTTGTTTCATCGTCCCGTTCTTTGCTGTTGTTGATGCATTTGGCAGCATCTCCGTTCTCTCCTGCTTCACTTTTTTTCCAAGTTACTCCACAGATGTATTCGATTGGATCTCTATGTTTCTACCTAATTTTTTTTTTTTTTTTTTTTACAGTCCTCA